CAGCACGGGAAGGTGAGCACACCAGTGCACACCAGAGAGGATGGCCAGAGAGGCCAGAGAGACCCTCCAGCCTTGGGGACAGAAAAAACTAGGATTAACTACCCCATGCTTCAGGAAGGCCTGAGCTGTGTGGCTGTGACATTCCCTGTGGTGTCCAGTGCTAACTGGACCTCTTTCATGGTCTCTGACCTTCCTGGTTTATGTTACTCTAAATCCATGTCCGAGAGCAAGGATCTGGCGGCAGGCAGCATGTCTGCCCCTTCCTCACAGTACCCAGCACACCATCGTACACCTAAACGTACACACACGCACAGACATTCTCAAGCTTGCACACAAACACACCTTATTCATCTGCACAGATGGCTTACAGAGTTGATATTTCTTAAGAACTGGCCAAAAGAACCATTTTTCTGTAACACAGAAACTTGCCAAATGAATGCTTTTTCCATAATGCAATTGTAGAAATTTGGAATATAATGGGGAAATAAAACACTTAGAATTAAAAGCTTGCTTGACAGAAACACATGTTTTTCTATCAGTAAAACAAATTTGGCTGTGCTCTTCCTGCCCACACAGAAGCAAGCCAAAAAACACTGTCTGCCGCGGGAGGAAGCCCCTCTAGCTGAAGGGGAAAATCGAAGGGAGGCCACAGGCAGAGGAAAGCACCATGGTCACCTTGGCCCTTCTGTGCCTGATGGCCGCCACCTGCTGGAGAGCCAGAGGATGGAAACCTGCATGAATTTCTAGGGTCAGGAAAAGCTACAGATGTGAAATTGGACAAAGCAGACCACAGTGGAGGGAATGGCTGGGAGGACAGACAAGGAAGAGGACATAAAAGCTGTCATGAAGCAGGGCCACCTTCATGAAGACAGTGGGGACCTTGAGCCCTCTGAGGGCAGAGTGTAAGGCGCTCGCTCTAGGTATCCAAGCACAGCTGAAAGCCCATGGAGGACCAAGAATGTCAGTGGTACAACACGTGCCTAGCACGCATGGGACACTGGGATCAATTCCCAGCACCAGAGCAGGGGAAAGCTGCAGTGGGCAGCTGTTCCAGCTTTGACCTGGAAGTACCACCTCTAGTGAGGCTTCCAGTAACTGCCGCGCCTACCTATGACCTGCCCCTGAGGCGGGGCTGAGACGGGAGCCCTTTAGACCAGAGATCTGATGTGCCAGCGCTCTTGGTTCCTTGTGATCCTGGATGCTGGATGGTAGACCGAGCAGAGTTCTCCAGAGAATACCACTAAACGGCACTTCACCTCTCCTGGGTCCTGTAACCAACCCGTTTACTGGCTGTAAGTTACCCCAAAATCACACCTCCTTTTTAACTATGTGGAGTTGCCTTAATAAATCCCCCAATAGAAAGCCAGTAAGAATAAGAAGATGAGTAAACATGGCCAGGGAGCTATGCCAGCTTCTGAGAGCATGGAAAAGGGAAGTCTAGCCCAAGCCATACTGGCTGCACAAGATGTGACCTCTACCACCACAAAAGGTCTGTGTTCAAGAAACCCTACTCTGTTGCCACCTTGAAATTCTTTTCTTTTTCAAACATACTGTCTTATTTCTCAGAGATATCACGAAGTTTAGGATCCCTAATGAAGGAACCTCTGATTCTAAGAGAACTACCCAGGAAGAAGGGAAGGGCTGCTACTGGAGAAGCCAGGTGGTACGAAGGGAACCATCCTAAGGCTTTTTTTGTTTGTTTGTTTGTTTTTGGTTTTTTGTTGTTATTGAGTTTTTTATTTAATATTAATTTTATTTTTATTTATTTATTTTAATATGCATTGGTGTTTTGCCATGGGTGTCGGGTCCCCTGAAACTGGCATTACTGGCAATTGTGAGCTGCCATGTGGTTGCTGGGAATTGAACTCAGGTCCTCTGGAAGAGCAGTCAGTGCTCTTAACCTCTGAGCCATCTCTCCAGCCCATCCTAAGATGTTCTGAATGGGGTCCTTATTTTCAGTTCACTTTGGCTCTGGCCCAAAAGCAGAGGCTGGCCTTGGTCCAGGAAAGGAAGCTTTGCTGTTACACTTGCGGGGGGGGGGGGAGGGCAGGGGGAGCAAGACTGATGTTATCTGCTGACCTTTTTCCCTGCAAAGAAGAAAGAGAGCTGTCTGTCATGACCAGAAGGAAGACAGATAAGGGGAGGGGTAAGGATTTCAAAAAGGATGGAGAACTCTGGTAGACTCCACCTTAACCAGGTGGCAAGGTTAGCATCACCATGGTGAGACACCACCTTAACCAGGTGGCTAGGTTAGCATCACCATGGTGAGACTGCTGTGGGATGGTCTGTATGTCAAATCTATTGCTCTGATTGGTCAATAAATAAAACACTGATTGGCCAGTGGCCAGGCAGGAAGTATAGGCGGGACTAATAGAGAGGAGAATTGAGAGAACAGGAAGGCAGAGGGAGTCACTGCCAGCTGCCGCCATGACAAGAAGCATGTGAAGACACCAGTAAGGCACAAGCCACGTGGCAAGGTATAGACTTATGGAAATGGATTAAGATATAAGAACAGTTAGGAAGAAGCCTGCCACAGCCATACAGTTTGTAAGCAATATAAGTCTCTTTGTTTACTTGGTTGGGTCTGAGCGGCTGTGGGACTGGCGGGTGGCAAAGATTTGTCCTGACTGTGGGCAAGGCAGGAAAACTCTAGCTACATGAGACACCACCTTAACCAGGTGGCAAGGTTAGCATCACCATGGTGAGATACCACCTTAACCAGGTGGCAAGGTTAGCATCACCATGGTGAGACAGACCAGTGTCACATACCTCCTCAACAGGCACTAAGAAGAGAACAGGATCACTTTTGAACAAGCTGCGATTCCTGCCACACCACAATGCCTTGCTATAACCACAAAAACAAAATAGAGAAATGGTCTATAAAACATACAGCACATATGGAAAGTGTCAAGGTCATGAAGCACAAGGAAAGACCAAGGAACTGTCACAGATTAGACAAGACAAAGGAGAAAGAACGACTGTATTAAACACCATCTGGACTATTGCACAGCTAGAGAAAACCCAGTAAACTGCATGCAGTGGGGCCTGCCTATACGATCTAGCCCAGAAGACAAGGGGAGGCAGAGGCAGCAACAGCTGGGCACGGTGGCTCATGTCAACAATCCTGGCATTTAGAAGTCTTCGGGAGAGAGAACTGCCATGAGTTCAAGACCAGTCTGGACTACAAAGGGACACCTTATATCAAAAAAAGGAAAGAAAGGAGGGAGGGAGGGAGGCACGGAGGGAGGCAAGGAAGGTGGGCTACTGAGTTCAACTAAGGCTTGTATGTAGTTACTAGCATTGTATCAGTGTTAACTTCAGCATGTTGATCACTCTAAGACATCAACACTAGGGAGGCCAGGTAAAGGCTGCACCAGGGCTCTGTTAGGCTTTTCTGTAAGTCTCAGATGATCCCAAAGCTTACATTTTCATGTGGATTCTTCTTGTTTGTGATTTTCAAAATGTTCTTAGTAGGGGTTAGAGAGATGGCTCAGCAGTTAAGAGCACAGGCTGCTCTTCCAGAGGTTGTGAGTTCAATTCCCAGCAACCATACGGTGGCCATTTATAGTGGGGTCTAATGCCTCTTCTGGCATACAGACGTACATTCAGACAGAGCATTCATACATAAAAGTAAATAAACCAATAAAACGATATCAGTAATGGCAACACCCACAGTTCCATGTTTGAAGCTTGAGGCTATCGCACACGTGGTCCTACTTCTCAGCCAATACAAAGTGTCAGTGACAGAAGACAACCACTGCTCCAGACCAGTCACTCAGCCCCAAGTCTCCATCATGGCTCCCCCACATGAATTCATCATTCCACCTTACAGCAGCCTAGCAAGGGAAGGATGCTAGGAAGGAAGGGCAGGAACACACCTCAGCCCACCGCCTGTCATGACTCATGTCCCTATCAAGTGGATATGTTAATTAAAGCTTTTGTAAATGCTAAGCACAATGGGACAACATAAGTTTGCGAGGACTATCAGGCATCTCCTTTTTCTATTTTAATTACATTTTTCCTGTACACGTAGAGTTGGCAGTAAATCCAGGTCAGATGTTGCTTTAGAAAAATTAAGATTTATAAAGAATCTTGAGTGGCTCGTCTACCCACACCTTGGACAAAACCCAATCCAGGTAACCACGCTGGGTACAGCCAGGGCTGCTCCTCTGCTGCCACCTAGTGGCAATCGGGTGCCATACCTAATCCAAGGACAGCCTGAAAGGAAGAACCAGACCCTTCCAAAAACACTTTCTCTTCATGGTCAAGCCTGCCACATGCTCAAGAGTGACAGTGTAAACACACATTCTTGAGAAGAGTGAAATTAAAATAAGTTTGAGGCTGCATCCATGAGGTATTTCCTCCACTTCAAGATGGGGATTACTGCAGAGACCAAGTCTAAGCCAAGGCACATTACCTATAAGACTTCAGGCTTACCTGCTTTGGGTCAGAGTTAGCCGCTCCAGGAGCAGGGGACTCCAGCTCTATAGTCACTGGCCCATCGTTCTGAATGTGCACCTGCATGTAGGCACCAAACTTGCCATCTGAAAGAACAAGTCAAACAAATTCAAGAGTTGGAGACCCCAGGTTTATCTGTCCAAAGACCACATGTACAACAATGTAAAAAACAATACAACAACAACAACAAAAAACCCTGGGCAGTGGGACCTGCCAGTCAACACAAGACAAAATGGCCAGCCCATGGCCAGCCCATGGAGGGTGTGAGAGGGAGAGGCAGGTAAACAGCACAGATGTTACAGCCTGCCCTAGAGAACTGGCAAGAAAGACCTGGTAACACCAAGAAAGACACACGGCATGAACAGGATGCCGTGTACCTGGCAGGAAGGCAAACTGGCACAGCCACTGGGGGAGGCCATTTTAGCCCCTATCTGGTAAAGGCTCGTCTCCTCCACCCCCACTCGCTGGCCCACTGGGCTTGAGGCAGCCTTGTGACTCCTTTCTGCAGGAGCCATGGCTTCCGCCACCACATCACAGTGTTCTCTGGTTCTTCCCACCCAGTCTGCTTCCTCCTTAATCTCGCGAGGAAAAACAGACACACCAACACTGGTGTTCTTCAGTGCAGACAGTCACACTGGAGACAGTAGTCAAAGCACCCAAGCAGTCTGCCATCTTTATAGGCAAGATAATCTGGTTCCTAATGGGGAGCCAAAGGTGCCCAAATAGTAGTGACTTTCTGTGACCTCCTATGATTAAAGTGGCCATTCAAATCAACAGAGCCTTTGTTTTATCTATGTCACACTAGCTAAAAAGACATCAGCTGGGAAGGAAATCATGTGTTTAATTGCATGCTAAAATTATGGCTACAATTAGTAGCAAATTGCACCATCTACACTCCTCCGGGAAGCTGCAGGCAGACTCAGGAGGAAGGAAATGACTTACAACCTTGAATTTCTGTTGCCAGGATATACGGCACATGCTTCACCGTGGTTCTCATTCCAAGTGGTGAGAAATTATTTTTCTTTTCCTGTTTTTCTTCAGTTGGGAACAGAACTATTATCTGAATTTCCATTTGTACACACACTAAATCCTAAGACAGGTTTTAAGAGGTCTTAAAATGGTAACATTTTTTCCAGTCCAGATCAAAGGGTGAAGTCCCCAAGAAAAATTACACTGGCCAGGGAAAATAAATACACTTTTAAAAATAAGACAAGAACATATCTAACAAAATTACATCTGGTTTCATGTGGTGATATAATCGAGTTGTTCTTAAATATAAGTCTCAGGGTTCCACCCAGAGCTACAGGACAAGCACGTGTCCAACATGTTTATGCCACATGTTTCAAGCACAAAAACACGCAGCTGGGGCCCAGCATCAACAAACTGGCCTCCAACAGCAGCTGGTCAAAGCCCCTCCCAAGCAGGCTGGAAGTTGAGCACTTGACATCAGGATTCACTATTTACCTGTGAGGCTGGTTAGCATCCACACCCCTCTGACTCTCACCACATACCAAGAAGGCCCACACCGCCCATCTGTGACCCAGCAGGACAGTCATCGTGAATGCAATGAGAGTACAGGAAGCCTTGGTCACTAGTACTAACATGCCTATCACTGGCCATGACAGTATGCAGTCAGTCTGGAGAACAGCCCAGTCAATCTACCAGGAAAACAACAACGAATGTCACTGAAGAAAAATGGAGTGAACAAGAGGCATGTGCTGCTGCTTCTTTGGCATGGTTAAATGAACGCTCTACTGTCCAGAGCATGACCATGACCCACTGGGAATTGGCCCACTCTTAAGACTCTTAGGGGACATGATACTAGACAAGAGCTTTGGACTGGCCTGAACCAAGCCCATCTCCTATAGAAAGTTCCCTGCCACCCAGGAAGTGCTCTCACCAGCCAGACTTCTTTTCTGTTGCACTTTGGATCTGTTCAGAGCCCAATCAGGGAAGGAGGAGTCACCACTGGAAACCCCAACACTAGGTGCACAGGCTTGGGACATGAAGACATCAAGCAGAATGGGATGGGGAAAAAGAACGCATTCAAAAATCAGGCCATGGAAAGTTAAGCTGCAGGGCTTGATCTGCATCCCCGGGACTGTGTGGGCAGAGCTCATGGGAATGGCACTGGCAGGCTGACATCTGGAGCATCATGTGCAGAGCCTGCTTCCATGGAGACAGCAGTGCTTCTCAGCATCCCTGCCTCCTCAGAGGACACGGCAACAGCCGTGCACCACACTGGGACGATGATGACAACACAGGCAACCTAAGGCAGTGGCGAGGGCTCTAGGAACCTTCAGCAGAAACCAGTCGCCAGGAGAGACACCTCCTCAGGCCTGTCAGCACACCGGGGCAGCATGGGTAGCCGAGCTTCTCAGAGTCAGCCTGAGTATAGAACTCCATCCTATAATGGAGGCCATGGAGAGATCAAGAGGGGCAAACCCTAGGCCCTTGCAGATTCTTCCAGGCCCAAGCTCCCCTTCTGAAAGTGTTCTGCTTGGCTGTGCTAACTCTGTGCATTGAGGCGTCCCAAGCCCAGTATTTCATGGCAAGAGGTACTAAAGACGGGGATACACCTGTGGTCCAAGATAAAAAATGCCAAGTTATAGGATGGGGCCACCCTCAATCACAAACCACAAAGCCAAAAATTTGTTTCTGAAGGAAATAACCATTTGGCTGGTAAACACCTAGGGCAAAAATTCACCTCAGTTGTGCAGTTATGATATTAAGCTTAGGTGCTGGAATCATGGATTCATAACCTCAAGAAAGCTCATCTTGTCTAATAGAGGGAAAACCTGCTGACCACCCAATTCGAGATTCCTGAAGATGAGTCTGCTGAGGGAGGCATGACACCTGACCCCTGGCCCTATAGAGTGTCACAGTGGTGAGTTAAAGTCATAGAGCATGATTCTGGGAGAGAGTTACATCATGGATCATTAGAACAGGCATTTGCCTGGGAGCAGGCTGGGTCCAACTCCTAAGAATAGAGGGGTGGGGGAGGCGCCAAGGAAGGAGGGAAGTGGAGATTCTAGGCAATGTCTCTGACCACCGGCCTTTGCTCAGACATCTTTGTGTTCTTCTGCAGTCCTAACAACATTCTGTTTAGAAAGCCTCACAGAACGTATAAGGCCACCTCACCTCCTAAAGGAATACTGCAGTCTTCAAGGCCCTGAAGGACCTATGAAGACACCTTTGTAACACAAGTATGCAAATATGTTGGACATGGCTGCTGAATGAACGCATATCAGAACGGCCATGGACGCCCCTCCTCTGACAGAAACTGGGTAGGAAACCGGGGAAGCTCTTCTGAGCTCAGACTTCTATTTTTTTGAACTTGAATGTGATACAGAATTTAATCTTGGTCTGTAATTTCTCCCCATGTCTACGAGAAAGGTATCATTCAACTTGGACGCATGTCCACACTGCTGACACCGAAGACGGCTGCCTCCTAGATCTTATTCAGATGTGTGCTCTGGTCAGACGGTCCTTTAACCTCCCTGCAGAACCTCTGCCGGGCTGGGCAGAGCGGGTCAAGATGGCTGGCTGCAGCACAGGAAACCACCTAGAGATAAGTCTTTCCCCTGAGGAGCATGTGGCCTCAGAGCGGCTTCACAGCAAGACCCAGGTTAGAACTTTAGGGACAAAGGACGCATGGCAGGAATAGCCTCAGAGGCTCAAAGGTGGACCAAGAGGACTGGAGCTGTGACCATCTGCCAAACAGGGAGGCCCCATGGCCAGAGGGCATCTCTGCTCAGAACCACCCTCCATCTGTTCCTGTCCCCCCAGGAAGAGAACACCAGTCCTCAAGAAGGCATAATGCTTTCTCCCCCATCCCCTACCCCTCAAATGAACACAGACACACACACACACTGTTATCCTTGTAATTACTGTTAAGAAGTAAGCATAATCATTCAAAGCTTTCCCAACCTAAACATCTACAGGGAAATGCTAACCATTGGGGTTATTGCCTGAAGGAGATTCAGCTGGAAGCAGGAGGGAGAAGCTGTCACAATAGTTAAGATGGTAAACTCTGACATCTTGGATTGGAGTAGCTCCAGCAAGAAGTAGCATCTTGTCTCATGCACACGTCAACAGAAAGCCTTGGACAATTTGCTAAGGGATCAGATGTGGTAAATAGGAGCCATGCAAACTTCTGACATTTTCAGAGCATGAAATTATTTAGCAAAACTAAAAAACTAAATGCAATAAGGAACTAAACGACAACAAATAGACCACACAACAAAAAAGTGAGGAAGACATGAGAAGACTGAAGATTAAAGTGAAACAACGAAATAAAAAAAGAACCAGGTCAACTAAGAGGTACTTAAAAAAAAAAAAAAAGATAAAAACAGTAAAAATAATCTGAAAAATGTTCAACCACATTTTGCACATTAAAACTACAATGAGGGCCAGGCAGTGGTGGCACACACCTTTAATCCCTGCACTTGGGAGGCAGAGGCAGATCTCTGTGAGTTCAAGGCCAGCCTGGTCTACAGAGTGAGCTCTAGGACAGTCTCCAAAACTACACAGAGAAATTCCATCTTGAAACCCCCACCCCAAAAAAAGTGAGATTATCAAACAGGTGGAAAAGATTCTAGAAATTAAAATACACTCTGTTGACAGAGCTATGAAGAAAAGAGGGAGGTCATCAGCACCCTTCTGACACATCTGTCAATCCCATCCTGAGTATACGCCCTCTACAGAAAGTGCTGTATGTACAAATGTATTTTTTTGCATCACTTTGGGGGTTGTATTGTTTTAGTGTGTGGGGCGGGGGTACATACATGAGTGAACTGGAGATCAGAGGACAACTTTCAGGAGTCAGTCCTTTCCTTCCATGTGGGTTCTGAGGATCAGACTCAAGTCACCAGGATTATGGGGAGAGAGCACTTGATCCCACTATGCAGACACAAACAAATGTGAGTGTTTGGTTTTTAGCATAAAAGGTAGCATGCAGTCAGCCATTTTTATGTCCCCTTCTCATGTGCCCTAGACGGTCTCCCACACCAGTTTAGCCCGATGTCCTCACATCTTTTTGTTGTCAGCCAGGCAGTACTTACGGCAGAGCATACTGTGGCTTACT